CAAGACAACAGCACGTGCACAAGCATGGGGAATATCCATTTGACAGCCTCGGAGGGGTTTAGGGTTTAGGGTTTTGGCAGTGTGACTCCCTGTAATCTACATTGTAGTTCCTTTTTTTGGTTTAACCAAAAATATGCTTAAGGAGTTTATAAGGTATCCCCCAAAGGGACTACAATGGAGACTGTAGGTCCTGTTCTGCAGTGAAGCATTGCTGTTCTATGCATGGGGTTCTTCATGGATTCTTCTGACGAGCCGCATATGGGAGTCTAGGCAAGAGTTCATAGCTTCCCAAGACTAATTACACACAAACCCCGTGTCTGCCTCTCTAAAGGGTGCTTCTTCAGAGCATCATTTTCTACACGCGTTCGTCAAAGGACCGCAGCCAAGCCCTTAAAACTTAAATCACAGCTTTCGTCACGACAGCTCTTCCCTCCGCAAAGCCCGTAACGATAAGCCCTAACTGTGCCTACAAAAGCACTGTACGTTATTGAAAAGATTCGACTATGAAACCCGCGCCCTCGATCCTCCGATCGCTGAGATACCGAGACGGCTGGAAAATCAAATGCCGAACTGGCAGCTGCCTTCTGCAGACCTTGGCGCCAGGACAAATCACGATTCATGCTTGCGCCGATGCCAATGCATGACTGTAGATTCTGTAGATTGAGCTAACCAGTGGAAGCCATTGTCTGCATCGGGCATATTTCATCCTGTGCGAGAGGGTATGTGTCTGTGTGTGTGTGTGTGCTGGCCATCCATATGCTATGGGGCTTGGAAGGGACGTAAAACTCACAGGTTTTGACATCGGGATTCCGGGAGATGATGATTTCAAAGTAGCTTTACTTGCAATACAGAGGAGAGGCCACTTTCCCCGATGTCTGCCCGCGTTCTGACTTGGGGGCACCTGTTTTTGGAAATCTGCGAGATACCTGAGGGGCAGCAAGAAGTGCCTGTGCATATGAAACGTATAATGGCATATCTATATATTTACATGTGTTTCTACGTGTTTGCAGATCCTATGCACGGCCGGCGAAGTGGAGAATCGTGGATGTGGCAGGCTCCAACGCCTTGGTCTTGGCAACCCCAACCAGCCCGTCTTCAACGTCAAGTCTGCTGGAACTGGAATTCTTACACCGGCCAAGGCGCGCCACTTCTGCGCCGTGCAAGCTATCCTGATCATCTGATCATCGCAGAGTTTGAGGTTCGGGCTTCCAGGGCTACTGGTAGTATGGGCTTGACACTCACACTCTCATGACAACATCTTGCCGCATTTTGCTGTTGCCGCCCACTAAAGACGCAAGAGGCAATAGACACGAAGCTGTGGAGATTGAGCTGAGCTGGACAGCTCGGCGAGTCTAGGGCAACCGGTGTTTTTCATCCGGTGTTTGGACTTCGAGCTGGTGGGCCCTGCACTGCGCACTGTTCAAGACACAGCCCATGAGATAAATTGCATTAGATTGATTACAGTTTCAGCAGGTCCGTGGCGACGAAGCTCACTCATTCTCTGTCACTCTCGGGCTGCGGCGATTCGCGAAGGTCTGAAAACATAGATCGCATGTAGCGGACCTTAAACAGGGCGCTTTCGGGTCTCGGGCGTATAGAGCATAGGATGGGCATTGGGTTTGCAGCTTCAGGCGTGGCGTTGTGTACGGCTTGCTGGCTTCAGTGGGCTCGGCCCGAGGATGCTTAGAAGGTGAAGGTCTACGGGCGCTGAACTTCTGGTTTAGGGTTTAGGGTTTAGGGTTTAGGTCGCAGCATCTTCATGGGGAAAAAACCGGACAACATTGATACGTTGCAGGGCCCGCCTGCATGAAATCCAATCTAGATCTTGTAGTACATAGCAAAGATTCGCAGATCGCAGGGTGGGTTCTGAATGTGAGGCCGAAGGTTGTGGCAGTTGCTGGACCTGGCAACACCATGCAAAAACATGTAAAACTGTATCTGGATAAAATGGACCATCATTTGAGTGGCAAACGACTATCAATCGGGCCGACCAGAACAATCTAAACTGCGGACGGTATTGGTACCGGATCCCGGAAAGATTCCAGTTTTCACAACACGCAATTTCACCCGCCAGGCACTGTTCGAAGTTTGTGCCGAACATCTCCCGCGGAAGCGCACCTTCCTTAGCAAACTCGCACACCCCCTAAAGCTAAATCCGTTTCGAGGACCCCTAGACAGCAGCTCGTCGCATCTCGCAAGCCCCCGGCTGAAAGCGTGTCGCTTCCTTGACAAAGCGCGATTGCTCTGACTTAAAACTTGGTTTGGGGGGTGTCCGTGAGATAGCTGCTGAACGAAGATTGCGAAGGGACTGACGATATCATTTCCGCCATGCACGCCAGCAGCAATCACTGATGTTATGCTAACGATTTTTCAAACTCCCTAAACTTGAAACCCAAAAGCCCTGGCCCCGCCGAGGCCTCGGGTAGTGTGCGTTCAGGATTTCTTGGGGTGATGTGCTGTGTAACCGTTATAAATCCATTCTGCAGTAAATGAGTGATGAGATTTAGCTTGCAATGCCCTTCCTCGTCATACTCTATAAGTCTATAAGCCCTAAGACAGGCCGACGAGACAATAATATTACTCAGTCACAGACTGAATGCAGAAAGACTAAACCATGTGAATACAAAGCACTGCAGAGTCTGACTGCACAAATCTACTGGAAATTTCCTGTGGGATAACTCTGGAAGAGAGCCTAACACCCTCGAAACTCAGAGCTGCAAAGTAGATTCTTCCTAATTTCCTTACTGGCCTGGGTTTCTACACTCACAGTTGGAGAGGCCGGGCAAGCTTGGGTTTGCTCACTTGTTTGGTCTTATGCAAGCACATCCTGCCAGGACAAAGGCGAGAAACGTGTCCGGCAAGAACCGACACACGAAAGCATCTGAGAGATCGACCACCGACGACATTAAGCGGGAGGTGCCTTGGCATGCGGCATAAGCGACTCGTTGCTCGAAGATCGCATGCGATCGCATTTTGCATCTTGTTACAGCCCAGAATCTACCACACGGATGCAAAACACTGCGAATCGAAAATGCCGCCGCTAGAAGCCTAACCGTCTGCATTTAAAACACTGTAGCAGTAACTCCGGCTGTTGTTGCCTGATGCAACTAGCTACCCTGCTGAAGCCATTACCCACCAGCAGTGACGGAAGCGGATGGTAACCAGTGTCTCAATTTCCTATCATCCGTCAGCGAATTGTTACTGACCCATGTGAAGAATAGCATGTGATCACCCAACAGTCTTGAATTGCGAGTGTGCCGAGGACGTTCTGCTTGCCTTGCGCATCTTAGAGAATCACAGCGAAGAAACTGAAGAACCGCCAAATCCACTATGCTCAAACAGCAGGACGAGAAACGGGTAGTTTTTGCTTCGGGACTCCATGGATCTGCCCGGGGGCACAGCCGCTTTACTTTCAGCAGCCATGCCAAGAAAACAAACACCCGATTTGATGAGTGCCACCTCATGTTTCCCCCATGGTTTCGACTGATGTCACCTCAGAGCCGGGCAAAGACCGCGGTAGCCGGCTTTCCGGATGGCATTGTCCAAAGCCGCCTCGGTCGTAGAGGTCATATCTCAGCACGACACATGGGTTGCTGGATCACGACCTCTTCCTCTACTAGGAGTAATCCGCGTGTGACCTCTATCAACTGAGCAGTGGGGTCCATTGTGCAATCGAAAGGCGGTTTATTTGGCACACAAAGACTATAGATCAAGAAATCACAGAACTACGCAATGCCACAATGCATACCTGAACCCTGGACGTGCCAAACCAAAGGTTCGAAGCGAACCTAAACCCTGCGGATTTCAGAGATCGTTCTTGAGCCGGAGCCTACGTAATGCTGATCTCCGGGGAAAACTTACAAGCACCGACCGAAACATGCAAGCCCGAAGAAAGCCAGTGACTCTGCATGGTTGCCCTTCAAGATGTCAATTCCGGGAATTTCATTCTTGGGCTGTCTTTGATCGGGACAGTTCTACGCGCCCTGACTAACTCTGCCTCCTGGGTCATCCCCTCTTCCAGAATCACTTCTGGAAGCAATGTGGCCTGAGCAGCGGAAGCAGGATCATGAAAATGTAAGGCTTCTTCCCCAAAACATGCAAGCTTGTGGAGGGAGACAGATTGCTAATGCTGCCTGCTGTAAGGGCTCGGCAGTGTATCTGCAAGTGCTGCAGGGGCAAAGGATGCACAAGGACGCCTTAGGATTCAAGCTTGCAGTTGGGAGCCGAGGGAGGGCAGGGGCGTTTAGGGAAGCAGCCGAGGGTCGAACATGGCAGTTTGTGCCTTGTTTGCTCCAACCACGAGACGTTTCTTTAGAAAGGATCCAAGGTCGGCTTTCAACTGCCGGCGAGTATCAGTTGCAGACTTAACGTAGCTTGTCTACCTCGAAATTTCACAAGATCAAGCCGAACAGGACCATGAAGGCACTACACTTGCGAGAGCACTTGCGGCCAACACCTCGGAAGAACTTAGCACACAAAAGCACATACAAGCAACAAGCGACGAATACTGTTTAGTTTAAGGAAGTTCTGGGTGGCGTCGGCGTAGGTTGTAACGTGATGTTGAGTCCAGGCAGGGATTGAACATGCCTGGTTGAGGGGCTCAAGGATCAGAACGGAGGTCTAGGTCCAACTGCAAAGCGATTCTAAAGAATCTGAGTCACTGAGCACTGACTCTTGTAATGTTCCTGTACTTGCTTTTTAGCCGGAATCTTGGGGCACAGGCCGTGAACGAAATAGTGACCTTGGCCAGCTTTGCGTGTGCTGGGAGGAGCACCTTCAAACTTGAGCCTTCAAGCGTTAATGAGGTCGCAGGCTACTTAGTCAGTGGTAGGGGGCAGAGTAGTTGCAGGATGCAGGGCACGGCACACGATGTCTTCCTAATTTTGCTGGTGAGTTATAAATTGCCAGCAAACCTTGTTGAAGCTGCGGTATTCAAGGCCAGCTAAAGATCGGCCTAGGAGCTAAGTGTCGACAACGAGTTATGCCCGGGAGCGGTCTGTCCTGTGCTTACAATAACCTCTTGCTCAGAAATCTCTGCGCCCTCTTGAAAAAACATCCCCGCCCACAAGGGCGCGGCTCGCGCGCTCGCTCAGTCTCTCAGTCTCTCTGTCTGTCTCTGTCCCACTGTCTCTCACAGTATTCGTATTGTGATCATTTGTGATCGTGGTTAGGTTCAGCCCCCCTCTGCACACGCAGATGAAGTCAATTTTCGCTCATGTCTCTCATCACAACAGGATCTCCAGACAGAACGCTGAACCCGCAAGCCTCAGCCAAGCCCCGTGCGCCGTGAACGCCAACCTTCCAGTCAGTTGGGTCCTGAAAATGGCAAGATTGTCATCGGGTTTCCACCTTTTCCCACGCGCCAAGGGTCGGGGTTGAAGTCTCATGGCAGATACACATGTCTAACATTCGGAGCTTGGAGACTTTCGGCTCCGAAACTGCTATGAGAGTCAAAGCTTTAAGTCTTGTGCTCTGGCGGATGCAGGGTGGGAGTGAGACAGAACCTGAAGAGACGAAGCAACAGTATCAAGCACAGTCAAAGTCAAGACTATTGAGAGCGGAGAGGTTGTGAGTGTGATGTATATAAGGGCCTCCGTGGCGATGCTGCAAATAAGCACTCGCAACAACACCAACATCTGCTACGACGATTATTGGGATCGGAGGACGGCATTGATCACGGCGAAGACCTTTGACGAATGCGACATAACATCCGCTGGCATTAACATCTCTAGACCCCTGGTATCCCTCGTGAAGGTTCTAGAAGGTTCGGGTTTAGCCATGGTGAAGCTATGTACCCCCTTTTGCAACGTGAACTTACCGTCTGCACCTGGGCCTTCAGAATCTTCGGAGTCTTTACGAGCTCGAACCTACAAGGCGTCGGGGTAGGCTCCGAAGCTCCCCCCAAACGGAGCCCGACGATGAACTGAAGGCCGCGGGCTTGCAGGGCCGACGAATCCAAGGCAAGAAGGGACATGGATGCTCTGACGGGGACCCTCTCCTGGCAAGGCTCGAAGGTGTGTAAAACGGACCTGGTTTGGATTTCGGGGCGATGTATGCTGTCGATAAGTCATGGGCATTGGAACTTAGTCTCAGCACGAATGCACAGGCCCGACGTCCACCCATCCAGCTCTAAAGATTGGACAAGGTCGAAGCCCCAAAGCGAATCCAAATCCCACTCAACGCCAGTAGCCCCAAAAAGGGAAACTACCAAAAGAGTGGATATTTCCGGACTGGCACTCCCGAGGTCCGGACACACGGCATGTAAGCGATTTCACCTGCTGGTAGAGGTGCCGGGTTAAAGTGATGGGGTTTAGGATTCGGGCTGATGTGTGCATCGAGGGTGGAGGGAAGGGGAGGACGGAGAGGCGGGGAGGGGAGAGCAGGGTGGGAGAGAGAGAGAGAGTGATTGAGTGTTGTGTGTGTGTGTGTGTGCGTGTGTGTCGGTGGTGGTGCTGCATGTCGGTTCCAGTGGCGGTGGCGCTAGCGGCGGCGGTGGTGGTGCTGCTGCAAACATTTGTAACATGGTGGTGTTGCTGATGCTGGCGGTGGCAGTGGCGGCGGTGGGGGTGGCGGTGGCGGTGGTGTTGCGGTGCTGCACACTGGTGTTGGTGGTGGTGGTGCTGCTGCTCATGACTCATGACCCACGCATATACCCGCAGTACATGCACGCAAAAAAGCCGGGGCCGAGCGACCCTCTATACTAGTTTCTCGCATGGGTTTACAGTATGCACTTACGTGACTGCCATGTTTCAACACATGCACCGCTCCGCCTTCAACGCCGAGCCTCACGCTGTAATACCAGAACGCCCAACACGATAAACAAAGAAAACGGCCCCGCGGGTCTGTGAAGGCCGAAGATGGCAATGGAACAACGAGCCAGGATAAACAAATCACATCGGCAACGAACAAAACTTAGCTACTATTCATATGTCCAAGGAAATCCGAAAGCCCCAAACTTCAAAATCCCAGCGACTTGCGCATGGGCCGGTGCCAGACCTCCTTGAGAGAGATCGGAGGAAAGCGTCGGTCGTGGAAGGCCTCGGAGGAGCGGAGGGGGAGGGGGGGATCTCGCAAGTTCGGGATCTCATCTTCTCAGGGTCCCTACCACAAGAAGACTGCAGTCATTTCGAAACAACAGGTTGTTGCATGGGTATGCTTGGAGTTGGGTTTTCATGGGATGCGCTTTATCTGCAGCGACGGTGTCTGCAGCTTATATACAAGGTCGAAAGCTTCCGACTTCCGAGAAGCCCAGGTATGCCGAGGCCGCTGGCGCTGGAGAGAGCACAGTCCGAGAGGCCGCCTGAGTCTGGAAGTTGTGGGATTTGGGGAGCTGGGGTTACATCAAGATTGATTTTAATAAATACTAGTTTAGCTAGATAGATACCCGTCTAGGTGGACAGTATACACCTGCTTTGGTTTCCAGAGCGCTCGAAAAAGGAAATTTTGTAAGGCAGACATGAAATATACACATGGCGCTACAAGGGAGATCAAACACAAGTAGACGTACACAGGAGATAGAGAGAGAGAGAGAGAGAGCCTCCAAAACCCCGAACATCGCCATCGAAAGGCCCCTCGGCTGAACAGCTTAAACTTGGATCATGTAAGAATCATTCCCGAACCCCTCCCATGAACCAGCAATGGGCTCCGTGCGCTCCAATTCAACCGGCTGCAGGGAGCCGATGCCTGGTGACTACAGGCTGTTTGCTTGGGGTCAAGGTCTGTGGGCGTAGGCGTTATAGGGTCCGAGTCTCGAGGAAGTACCTAATCGGGGGTCTTCCGTGCTTGATGCTGCCATGCTCGAAGACACCCAAGCAGCCAGCCGAACACACAATGAAATAGCCCCAACCACGAGTCTCAAGACCTAGTGACTACCAAGTAGCGTAGTAAAGTACAGCATACCTGCCTGCCTGCCTGCCTGCCTGCCGGCCTCTATAACAAAAATCCATCCAGCCATGCCTGCCTGCCTGCCTGCCTGCCTGCCTGCCTGCCTGCCTGCCTGCCTGTAGGCAGGTACTGTATTTATGTGTGCATATGCAGGTGAGTGTACGTATAAACGTCTGTATATAAGTGCGTAAGTATGTAAGTACGTGGGCAATTAAGTACATGCATGTACGCATTTAGGCTGCTATGTATGTCTGCATATAAACATACATACATACATACATACATACATACATACATACATACATACATACATACATACATATAGATACATACATATACATACATACATACATACATACATACATACATACATACATACATACATACATACATACATACATACATACACACAGACATACATTACATAATGCATACATACATACATACATACATACATACATACATACATGCATACATACATGCTTACATACACACATGCATACGTACATATGTACATACGTACATATATGCATATACATCGACATACACACAGACATAGACATGCGTGTATGTATGTATGTGTATCCGTATGTGTATTTTTACACACAGGATTCGGGATCGAGCAGTCCTGTCTGCAGCCCCAGAACCCCATCGCTGCCCTGCTGGACACGGGGTTCGCCATGAGCCAGCTTGATCCCCGAACCCCCCAGGTACCTACTATATAGGGTACTAGAGCCCCTAAGGCCCTATATCGTAGGCACCTGGGGGGTTAGGGATCTGCAAGCACATGTTAAACCTTAACTTTCAAGACTCGAGGTCCTGAGTGTCGTTTGGATCAGGGCATTGTGAGAAGCACTAGAGAGTTGTGCTGGCAATAAATAATTTGCGGGATCAGATGAGCGAGATCCGACATCATGCTGAAAGTGCCATCGCTGAGCTGTCTGATAGAGCATGCTTTGCACGAGAATCGGCTGTGCGCAGCTGAAGATTGCCCTGTTGGAAACAATCCGTGCGTTGCCGTTTGGTGTTCACGGAGTCCGAGCGGCATGACGACATGAATACTGTGCAGCACTGGCGAGGGTGTGGGAACCAATCGGTCGGAGGGCATGAGAACATTCGGAGGCCATCCCTGGCATGGATTTGGACAGCTACTGTGGCGATCTTGGCATGAGCATGCACAGTGGAGTTCATGCGTATGCTCGCCCTGGTAGAATGGTGAATTTGTCCTCTTTCTACAGAGCTTTGTTTTCACGCTACGTCGGGGTTGATTGTCATTGCGACCAGACCTCTGCAGGGTAAACGGCTAGAGGTCGAACACAGCACCAGGCCAAAAAGGTTGTCGAGCGTGGACGACGAACAACTGGACCCTTGCGGTTCAACTTGGACGTGTTCGTGCATCGCCCGGTGCTCCAGTGCTTTCCTGTCTGGATGCTGCCATTTTCTTCAGACTGCCGGCAGCATTGACGGATGGGGATGCGTCACTATCGTCACTGCTGCATTTGGTGATGTGTGGGATCCTGGTGGTAAGCTGCGGCATGCGAACACAAAGTTGGAGCATGAACACGGCCGGAAATCGGAGCGGTTTCATTAGAGTTGCTCTGCAAATACTGAGCTGTCGTGGTAGTTCATGGAGCCCAGGTTGGGCTTTTTTAGTATCTCCTTAGGCGTTTTGTTCTTGAGACTGATGTTTTATTGAGGAGAAAGGTGCAGCCGGGTACGTCTTCTCATGACCTCATTCCTCTCATCTTATTGTAGGGCCTGGCGGCACGGGCCGGCATGGCCGTCGCCGCTTCGATTCTCGCCCCGAAGATGCTGCCAACAGTTTGGCAAGCCCTAAAACCCTAAACCATGAGCCGTAAGGCATACGCACTACGCCCCCCTCCCCCCT